GAAAACTCGGTGATAGGTTAACTGGTTTAGCATTTAAAGCAAGATCTGATTAACTTTTGCCTAAGTGATTTAACATCTTATTGGCAAGATTACGCCCAACATTAATAAAATATTCATTAACTTGATTTAGTGATCCATTTGTTGTTGTATCAATATGGAAAAAATCTGTAGACATACGTCTTTAATAATCAGACTGACATTTTAATGTGTAAATAATTACGTGCCTTATCAACAAATAAACTGTTTTCAAAGCAAAGAATACGACTACAGCCATCCAATTATTCCTTATTATCCATTCATCCATTCATTGCAGCCGACACACAGTCCACTGCTAAACATATGAGTATGTTGCCACATATATATTGCAACATAGGGGGATATTTACCACAGTTGCTACACTTTGCAAGTAGATAGGCATAGCAATAGCAGTTTTTTATTGTTTTTATTAGTTATCAGGAAGATGTTCAAATTATATGTTACGAATGTTTCCGTTAATTTACTTCATGTCTTAACATACACAATACATACGTTTTCATATTCACTATGTTTCTTGTATGCTATCGTTATATGATATATTATGCCACCTAAGCAGTTATGATAATTCGATATTTGACACAATCTGAATAGTTTAAGAGATACGATCTCTGGATACGAGCAAACTTAGAAACGGACGTGCATAATTACACCAGCCAGAAATATATAAGAATATGTCTTTTAATTGTTTGTATTGTCGTCTAAATAATTACAATGAGAACTTCAAATCTATTTTAAATGAGACCATCCCTGAGTTATAGCTTATTTAAAAAAAATTAAATTGGTTCAGCCGTCTCCGAGAAATCAATGAACACTGATAAAACAATACGTGTCGGTTATATAGGTAAATACACCCTCCTTTTTGAACTCGGTTAATAATTAAATAATAATATAGAATATATTTGTTGAGTTGGTAAATAACTTTGTTTATGGACATACAACTAAAATTAAAAAAAAAAACAAAAAGGTTAATTTAATAATGAATATCGAAGAAGTGAAAAGGTTTTTGTGGAGTAAACATTGAAGGGGGTGTCCGGATTCAGAAGGCCGGAAAACGATGTCCTTCCTCAGCCATTTAATTGTAAGACGCGAGCACACGTGCGTCATCACCGCTATGCTTTTTTTGTACGCCATCGAATCTTTCAGTACAATCTCTAACATCGGGTAAAGGTTCATTCGTACAAGGGGTGATCCAAAAGTAATGATAATCGGTTACTTCAGGTCCGCATAAAAATACAAAAAAAATTTTTTTTTTGATTGCTTATATACTCACTACTTCAGCCTAAAAAAATCATATAAATAGATCACGATTTCTGGGAGATACATTCATTTGAATACGAACTGTCAAAGAGATAACATCCACATGGAGAAAAACGAAATTAGAGTTGTCATCAAGTACCTCTGTTTGAAAAAAATGTTTTCAAAAGACATACACAGTGACTTAGTGGAAACATTGGGGGACTCTGCTCTTCCATATTCTACAGTTGCACGCTGGGCCAAGGAGTTTAAATTGGGCAGAACATCCACTGAAGATGAACATCGCGAAGGACGCCCATTCACGTCCCTCACTGAAGATAACGTGAAAAAAGTCGAAGATGTTGTGTTGGCAGATCGACGAGTGACCATCAGGCATATAGCTGAGATCACAGGGATCTCATATGGCAGCGTTCAAAGAATCCTTGCGAACGAGTTGCATATGAAAAAGGTCTCTGCGCGTTGGGTACCCAGAATGTTAACCGACGAGCAAAAGAAAAATCGAGTTGACATTTCGAGGGTCAATCTCGAAAAGTTCCAAGCAGATCAAGAACATTTTTTGTTCCGTTTTGTGACTATGGACGAGACCTGGATCCACCATTTTGATCCTGAAACGAAACAACAATCGATGACTTGGAAGCGAGACTCCTCACCGACCGGGATTCGAACTGCTCGAACACCTTCCCTATTCGCCAGATCTAGCTCCTAGTGACTTCTACCTCTTTCCTCGGCTCAAGAAACGCCTCCGAGGCAAGAAATTCGAAGACGATAGCGAAGTAATGGCCGCTGTTGAAGCGTTTTGGGAGGGTCAAGACAAAGAATTTTTTTCAAAGGGAATCCTGGGTTTAGAGAAAGATGGACTAAATGTATTGATTTGTTAGGAGACTATGTAGAAAAATAAATTACTATTTTAACTTTAATTACCGTGTTTTATATTCATTATCATTACTTTTGGATCACCCCTCGTGTTAGTAAACGATTGCCGTCGCCCGCCTTTTGATCTCGAGCAAAAAAATCTCATTGACGTTTCAGATGTGTATCAAAAGCCAATGGGGTAGAACATTCGGGATTGGTGAAAAAAATTCTAGGTGTAATTTTATTGATAGTTTTTAACTTTCTGTTAGTTAAAAATGACAAAATTGTTCATTTAATTTGATTAGTGTCTTGATTTCTGTATATCGCCAACAATTCCACCTACCGGGTCCCATTGTGAATGTAAACCACTCAAACACACAAAAATATTTCATTAAAATGTGTCCAGCCGTTTAGGAAGAGTTTAGTGACAAACACACGGACAGATGAATTAGATATATAAAGAATAAATATATAAAAGATTATCGCTTTGTGTTCCACTGCGGTGACAACTATTTATTAATTCAAAAAAGCAATATCGTTCCAAAGATTACTTGTTAATAACATACATTAACCAAGTGGCGGTGTAAGCATATCCACTAGCCCATAACATCCCGCGGGTGACGTAAGAGGCGAAAGAAAGTTATTGGAACAGATAGGCAGCAGTTTTTTCCTGATAACTGTTGAATAAAAATCAAAATTGCGATTGCCATCTCGGTGGCTTTAACGTGGCAGCTATGGCAAATATCCTGCCTTATCAGGCGACCTATTGGGGCCTATATTCTAGGCCTAGGCCTATGTTCGGCAGTGGACTTTTAATGAGTGGTAATGGCAATGGCAACATAAATTGTGTTGTGAGGCTAATAATAACAGACTCCTCTATATGACTACATCGTAGTTCTTATGGTTACAATCACTAGTGCTGATCATGTGGTACCCAGGTTCGAATCCCGAAAAATCAGTTATTGCACCGGTGTCAAAAAGTTGTCGATATTTCACCCCCATGCGAGAGCGCGTAAAACCGTTGGACTTGCGTGTGATCTCTCTCCGGTCTTGTCGGATTGCTGTCCCATCAGTCAATAGAGAGCTCATACACCGGTACACAATAATTCTATCCTGCATCCTGTGCAGGTGGCTAATCTCCCATGAGACTAGCCAGTGTGACCGACCGAATTGCGGTAGATAACATTAACCGTTCCCCTCTAATTATTATTTACAGCCGTCGGAACTCGCGCCTCTTTTAATAATCATCGCATATGATAGGAAGTTGTCAACTACAAAAAAATGTACAGGGTTGTTTTTCAAAGAATAACCAAATTTTAAACATAAGTTCAAATATATAAATAATGATATACCGTTACTGAAAATACGAGGAAATAAGGCTTCTACTTTTATTTGAAACTATCACAAATAGAATGTTATGGCCAGCAACGTTTTTGCCTACCTATTAATCCTTACGAATGTCTGCTCGCGCAGTAAAATCACTTAAAATAATGCACTACCGCGCATTTTGAATTTAAAGGATAAAAAGGACAGAATGTTTGAGATTTTTATTGATTAATTTTTTCTTCACCAATTGCCTTGCCTATAATACTTATTCTGAACCTTCTTTGCAAATTGGTCCGTATTGCAAAATAACCCCGTATAATAGTGTCTCAAGAGTAATAGCAAACGTAGAGGCTCTGGACATGCTAAGAGGAACTTCTGTCTGCTTACTAAGAAGCAACGCCAGGATTATATTATATTACCTAGGACGATAAAAATCCAATATCTAAAAAAACGCTATTTGATAAATGTCGGATATACTTATATTTATACAGATACGATAATGTCGGATTTACTATCTATAGAAAATAAGGGTGGCAAACGAGCACACATTCCACCTGATGATAAGTGGATGCTGTGGCCCATGGACATCTACATTTATCTACGAGCAAGAATCAAAAAGCCGATACGTTGTCACTCCTGTGGACTAAGATGGAATGGCTCGATTCCAGTAAAAAGGTTCTCCGGTTCTCTACACTCACCATACGAAACACAGCAGTTATACGCTGCAATTTTACGCTGGTATTCTGTGAGAACGTGGTCCTTCCCCGGTCGAGTCGACCCATCTGTGCTACAACGATAATATAGTTGCAGCGTGGTTCTACCACGTAAAAAATATCCGGGCTAAGGTTCGGAAGGGCTTAGCCGATAGTGATGAAACTACGAACAGATAGGAAGAAATGCCAGGAGGAATCTGGGTCATATTTTATCAGAAAAGATTGAAGATTAAAAAAAACAAAAAAATATATAAAATGAATGAATTTTGATTATGTTAAATCTAAATAACGCCACATTAGTAGGTGCTATCCGGACGACGGGGCGGGTCGCTAGTACATTATTAGACGTAAATAACATTATGTATTAGAAACGTTTTAAATAACTTGTGTTAAATGAAATAAATTTATATCTTTTCATTTGTAAATCTTCGACACCCTCTTCGCTCTATACGTCGAAGATACAATATGCAGTCTCGAACACCTGAGGGCTGCTCTATTCCGGGATTTGAAAGGAATGCGACAGCTGCTTCTCTGTGCACAGACGGCGACCAGGGGATTTTTTGTTCCTTGGCATAAAGTAGGCGATGGTCTGCTGACTTGTCCCTATCTTTACAAATAGCCTTAAATATTAACCAGCATCTGCACTAATGCCGAGAAATAGTGAAACACGCCGGATTACAAATAGATATATTTTTGTAAGTTGCATTATTTTGTTAGCCGTTTTTTCGTTTTTGTAGCTCTTACCAAAATATTTATCCACGTTCCGAAATGACAGGAAGCAAATTATTAATAAAAAAAATAAGTAAAACAATATCTGACCTTGACTTCGCGTAGTGTTCATGTTCTTTGCCTGAACTGCCTTTAACCATATTTTATTCATAACTTCGTAATGTGTAACTGTTGTAATTAGTATAAAACTGGAAAAAAAATGTTTCTTGTTGTCCTTCTTCGTTCCCTGTTAATTTTTTTGCAACTGATGAATTTATTCAAAACTTTACATCTGATTTGTTCTAGTTCTTAATTCTACGAAATAAAAGTCATCAGGCAACGTAAATAAATTTATAGATTAAATCGGATGTACAATTTTTTTAAACGTTACCTCCAGATTTTTCCTGTATCGTGGAGTCGTTTACATACATAAATTTCATAAGGATAAATATCCAGACCCGGAAAAATAATTAATAACCCATACAAATACCTGTTCCGTGTGGGATTTGCAACTCATTGCTAAGCCACTGCGCCACGGAGCCGTGTCTATGGGCATTGAGCATTGATGTGTAATATGCTTAACAAATAACATGTTATTAGACGTATTTGTTACTTTTTATCTCAAGATACGATTATAATGTCAAATATCTATTTATGGAATTCCCTATTTTAATTCCCTTACATATGAATAGGGGATAACTGTTAGCCATCTAACACTAAGAAATCAGAAGCTTCACAAGCGAGCGTCACATGTGCTGGGACAGTGGGGGGGAGGGGGGAGCAATGGCGGCGCTCGCACCTGCCAGCTAGCACCTGCCTCGCGCGGATGCAACCCGCTGTGTCGCGCGCAGCACAGATACAACTTATAAAATACAACAGATGTTTCTGCATCGGCCACGCAAACACATTGATTGAATACGATTGTGCTTATTAATTAACTTTAAAAAGGTTATTGGTCGAATTTTTTTAAACAATCGTTTCACACACATTAAATCGTGTTTATTATTTTACATCGCACTAATATGTTATGGAAAGCACATGGTTAGAAACGTGGTAAAGATATATTATGGTTGTAATACGAATGGGCCGGCTCGACTGAGGAAAGACCACGCTCTCATAGAATACCAGCGTAAAATAATAACTTTACGCTGCTGTGTTTCGTATAGTGAGTGTAGAGAACCGGATACCTTTTTTACTGGAAACGAGGCATCCCATCTTAGTTATCACGGGTGACAACACATTTGCATTTTGATTCATATTCGAGGATAAATGTAGTTTATGGACCACCGCATCCACTTACCATCAGGTGCACTGTGTCCTCGTCACCATATTCTATAAAATAGAAAAAGAAAACACAAAGGAACAATAATAATGCTTCTTTTCACATGAGCGTTTGGGCTGTGCACTTTCGAATTTTTCATTTTTTCTCGTTATTTTTTGTCTTGTTTAGATCAACAGTACTATCGGTGGCTAGGTAAAAAATGCATTTCTAATCAATTGAAACACACTTAACTTTCATCATCTTTGTTACAGGCTTTCTATATACTTCTGGCCGAAATACAGCAGTACACGCGAGCTGTTCGGCGGCAGAAATAGTTAAATTTTTATTTGTAGGACTCGGCCAGTTAGGTTGAGATTATTTCTATATAAGAGCTTAATCTCTTATAATTTTGGAAACCACTGCATTATATTCTGTTATTTTTTTATAGGAGAGTGTAACAAACTAGCATACAGACCACCTGATGGTAAGTGGTGGCTGCGACCCATGGATATCTAGATCCATCCTCGATTACAAATCAAAATGCAGATGCGTTGTCACCCGTGATACTAAGATGGAATGCTTCGTTTTCAGTAAAAAGGGTCTCCGGTTCTCTACACCCACCATACGAAACGCAGCAGTTTACGCCGGTATTCTGTGTTTTTGATTGATAGATGTCGTTTGGTCACTCGAGAACCTTTTTTCTCCATCTGTTGTCGGTTCTTCGAGATACATGGCCGGCCCATTTCCACTTCAGCTTACTAATCCGTTGGGCTATGTCAATCTCCTACGGATAGCCCCATTCCTAAGTTTATCACGCAGAGAAATCCCGAGCACAGTCCTCTCCATAGCGCATAGCGCCTAGCGACCTTGAGCGCCCTCATACGGCCAGCAGTAAAGGACCACGCCTCAGATCCATAAGTCATCGCTGGCAACACGCACTAGTAGGTATAAATACCGATAGTTAATTTATAGGCGGTTGCGAACCGACTTTTTAGATACAATGGCGGAGGCGTCGTCAGCGATGTGACCTTGAAGAGATAACCGAATCACCAGATTATGAAAATACGAATTTGTCGTTCCTAATATACAGAGGATCAACGACATAATATGTGCTTTGTCCCAAATCGGTGGATAATATACTAATCAAAGCTATGAGATGTGTTAGTAGATAATTAGAGAAACAATTCAAACAGCAAATCACTTATACAAGGTCAAGATAGCGCAGAAAAATATTGAAAGTAGCAGTTGTTAGATAAATTTGAATTAATTATCCATTCAGCACAACCATATAACTCGACAAGTCAACAACGCATGGAAATATTTTTTTTAAATATACATAGATTATATAATGCTAATTGAAAGTCATTCTCACGTTGAATGGATGGAAACGAAAGGTTCTCGAGTTGCATCCACAAACTGCCAAGCACTACTCTCCCTGAATATTCATAAGTCAAATGGATAGTGTACCCGTTACGTAAACGAACCTTTAAACTACGGGCCTACACCTACACCTCCTTGTTTCCCAAAAATATTGGAGTCCATTAAAAACATTGACTAGCTGAGTAGGGACCGCCAACAACTTTTTAATGGCGTCGCTCTGCCGGCATTATTTTAGCCTACCTGATTCCCAATGGGTTGCGATAGATTTTTTTATAGAATAAGTGTGACAAACGAGCACACAGTACACTTGATGGTTGGTGGATGCTGTGGCCCATAGACATCTACATTTATCCTCGATTAAGAATCAAAACGCAGATGCGTAGTCACCAACCCTGGAGGACTAAGACGGAATACCTCATTTTTACTATATAAAGGTCTCTGGATCTCTGAACTCACCATACTTTACGTTATACTTAGCGACAGCGTTCGATCGGGTTTAGCACAAAAGCTTTCGAAGATTCTATAATGTGGGCTTCTCACTAGTTTTTCGTCCCTAGTTTTCTTGTAGATCGGAGCAACATGTTGTAGGTCATCATCGTAGTTGACGGTGCATGCTCAGACACCAAGCCTGCGAATGCTTGTATTCCACAAGGCTTTGTTTTATTGTCCATATTGTTTCTCCTGCATATCGATGATCGGTTAAAAGCCAGTAACATTCATTACTATGCAAGCGCCTGCGTCTTCTTTCTGAGCAGCGATTCAAACAACGTACACGTAGTAACGTCAGTAGTTACGTTAATTTTAAACAGTTTATTTGTCCTTGCAATATTTTATTACCCTCTTAATTGTTGCGAGATAGTACAGTCGTCCAGGTTAATATTCAAGTTGCATTATTTTGTAATTTTCTCGTACTACCGAACTAAGACAACAGCACTACTGATATCATGATTATCTTGTACCACCATCATTATTTTTAATATAGCGAGTGCCGGAAAAAACTTCCTTTGAAGTCGAGGATTTGCTAAAAAAGACAAAATTTAGTCCATTTCACCTATCAGAAATATTCTTATGGTTGTAATAAGAATATTTCTGATGAACCATGGCCAAGAATAACCAATATAGGCAAAGGTAAGTTCTTCAGTAAGCTATATATATATATATATATATATATATATATATATATATATATATATATATATATATATATATATATATATATATTTTGTTATTAGATACTTAACTTGTTGCTATCTTGCAGGCAAAAATGCAACAAGTCCTGTCTTGATGTTAACCTAACACTACCCAAAGAGTACTGAAAAGACCGGAACAGGTGAAAATCTGAGGGTGCAAGGTCAGGACTATATGGTGGAGACGAGTGGCAAGTGATGGCGGACTTCAGCTGGCTACCAAGAGGTTCGCCTGGCCTGGCATTAAGAGGAATTGTAGGTAATGGGCAAAGAAGTGCCAGCACTATCAACGATCAAAAGTATCTCCGCACACTTCAGCACCGCTTGCATCATTCATGTAACCGTCAGCACGCTTCCGGTATGTACATCTTGACCTGATCGGTCCCTTACCGTTATGTACTGGGTACAGGTACTGCATCACTATTGTCAACCGCTTCACTCGTTGGCCTGAGGGATACCCACTCCAGAACATCACAGCAGAGACGTGCATCATCGCCCTAACAAATGGATGGATTTCACGCTTCGGATGTCCAAAATATATCACCACAGACGGCAGCAGTCAGTTCCTATTGCACACTTTCAAGAAGCTTGCCGCGCTGGTCAGTGCAACACATCATACTACCACATCTTATCACCCAGCTTCCAATGGTCTCGTGGAACGACTGTACCGCCAACCGAATTCCGCCATCACTTGCCACTCCTCTTCCAACTGGGTTGAAGTTATACTATGGATCCTCCTCGATATCCGCAGCGCCTTGACAGAGGACTTGCAATCTTCGGCAGCAGACTGTACTGCCATATGTTAGAGGAGTCACTGACAAGATTGGCTACATCTTGAAGCGCGCTTCCATCAAAACATACTTCAAGCCGCCGAAGAAGATTGGTCAGTTTTTACCATCAGTCAAGTGTAACGTCCCTCTGCAAGATGCAGGAGTGTACAAGCTTGATTGTGAATGTGGTCTCTCCTACATAGGACAAACTAAAAGATCCATTAAAACCTGCGTCAAAGAACATATAGCTGATGTGAAGAATCGACGCTCCGGGAAGTCTGCAGTCTGTGAACATGTACAGGATCGCCCCCGTCACTACATCAGATTTGATAGACCACAAATCCTCGCTAAAGAACACCGATTCCTTCCAAGGATGATTCGCGAGGCTATTGAAATCAAAAAACATCCTAATTTCAATAGAGAAGATGGCTGGGTGCTACCATCTGCTTGGGATCCTATAATAAATAAAATTAAATCCCAACCCAAGCATACAACTGCAAGACTCCATGATACCATAAGTTCATACTGTGTAGATCGGAACAAAAGTTAAATTTTAATCTATGGTAACCGCGGTTAACTATGACATCTGGACGTTGAACATCTCAGTCCTTCCCGTGACCATGGGTGCTGTAAAGCTCTCGAAACGTCGGGTAATTAAAAAGTTAAATATACGCGATAAATTCCGTAAAAACTAGTATTATTTCAATTCGGCAGCAGAGTTAGTCTACGACGAACCACTCCGTTTGCCTAGAGAGTTCTTTTCCCTGAGTTACAATACGGAGACAGATGCCGTGGCTGGTCGACTACGCGCGCATTTCAGTAGAGTAACTCCACAACCTACGTCTTGGCATGGCAGTTTCAGTCGAATATTCTATTTGCCCAAAGATCTTAGAACTTCGACGCATGTCTTTGTACGCCAAGGTCCCGCAAGAAGACCACCCGAGGCACTCTACTCAGTTCCTTTCAAAGTTGTGAGACGTGACTCCAAAACATTCAACATATTAATCAAGGCAGATCATATAGGATATCAATTGACCGCTTCATAATATATATAGCAACTAACAGCGTATGTTGCTAGAGAGACCGTAAAAACCATTCCACAAAATCGGAGTGACTATGGTCAAATTACTACATACTACCAAAGCGACCAGAAGCAGACGCACGGTGAGGTTTCCGGATTACTAGGATTACTATCGCCCGTAGTTACGGTCTTAGCGGGGGAGTAGTGTGGCGAGTAAATTGGTAGTTAGAAAGGACCTTAAGATCACGTCGGGGTCACCACTGTGGCCGGATTTTTTGATAGTTACCAAGAATTTCGGATTTCTTTTAAGTTTATCAATTCTCTTGGAGCTTCAACCAATCGAATACAATTGTAAAAAGTACAAAAGTATTCATAATAAAAAAAATTATAGGTCTTAATAAACTGGTCTTTTTACACTCTATGTAACATAAAATGTTACGTACTTCAAAAAATTACTATGAGACATAAATATATTTTAAAAAACATGCCCATTTAATCAGCTATTCAAAAAGGTAATGATATCCCGGTGAAGACATTTATTCGTAACGTACAGTCATTTAAACTAATGCGGGTAATTTCTAAACTTAAACAAATTTTTTTACTAACTTATTTCACCTTGCTCAATATGAGCCCCTTGGTTGCGGATAGAAGTCCTGATTAATTTTCTAACTTCGGTTTTCGTTATTTTTGAAGATATTGTAGCCCTAATCTGCTCTGCCGCATTTAAGATACGTCTTCGCAATTCTTAAAGAGAATTCACTGGGGTCACGTTGACTAAATCCTTCTAGTGGTGTCAGATCAGAAATACATGCAGGCCACGGAATTGGTCCTTTCCTCTCAATCCACCTGTTTGGGTATTGGCTATTTAGCCACTCTCGGACAGATAACCGGAAGTGAGTTGGACAGCCGTCATGCTGATAAATCAAATTACTTTTAATTTCTTCTGGAACATCTACTAATAACTTATCCAAATCATTTCGCAAATTTTTTTTGTAAATTTTCTCGTTTAAACTTTATGGCATATAATAAGGCCCAATAATTTTGTCATTTATAATACCCATCCACTCATCCAAAGAAAATCAGTGCTGTGACGCTGTTCTTGAAGTGAAAACTTCTTTAGCGGCGTTGTACACTTTTTTTGTAATGGGTAAAAATGTTAAACTCGCGTCAGGACACGTGACCTGCTCGAAAATTCGTAAGACGGATAGAGAGTAGACAGCCGGCGCGGCGTATATGGCGGAGAGGAAGTATTCCCTCTCTTTCTACGCCGTGGCGAAAATGTATGTTATGTATGTGTATGTAATGCTGTTTCGTTTAGGTCAGAAATTTTTAATGTAATATAAATTGTCATGTTTGTGTACGATAGCGCAATAAATAAATATTGTATTCTACCACATAAATGATAGTATGACAAAAATGATTGTACTTTTATACTGATAATTAAAGCAATTCGTGCAAAATTATTCCCTAACCATTCCAAAATATCAAAAATGCACAACGTTAATACTCAAGTAGTTACTCATTGGCTTGATAGCCATAATCTAGAAATAAACCTTAAAAAGACAAAAAAATTTACAATTTCGTTCATATAATAAACCACCCCTAAAAATTAATATTCAATCACAAAATACCCTAATAGAAGAAATAGACTCGTACAACTTGCTTGGACCTAATGTAGATACACATTTAAACTGGAAGTCGCACACTGAAAAAATTAAATGCAAACTCTAACATCACTCTCACTCATACATCATCACATATGGGCTTTATCAAATTAATCATAGCATAAATTTAGAAACTGCACTTTCCACATATTACGCGTATGTCTTTTCATGGCTTAAATATGGTATTATTCTTTGGGGTAATAGTATTAATGCAGATGAATTGTTCATTTTACAAAAAAATGTTTGATACTTGCCAGAATTGATAACAGACATAGCTGCCGATCCTACTTCATTGAATTTAAATTATTAACCTTAGTTTCTATTTATATAAAAGATATAAGTAATTTCGTATTTAAAAATAAACACTTCTTCACCCAGATAAAATAACATAAATATCAGTTAACTAATAAAATGACACGTTCATGTACCATGTTATATTTCCGATCGTTTTATTAGTATTGTTACAAATAAATTTAGTGCATGAGCTTGTGGAAATAAAGAGGAATGAAACGACATTTGATACTATAAAATCTGTTAAGGCATATATTACTCACCTAAGCAGCCCGTTAGGCGGACGGACTGCGAGCTGGGCGGGCTGGGCGGCGGGTGGAGCGGGCGGGGCGGGTGGGACTGGATCGAAGAGCGCATCGAAGTGGTCGAGCAGCGTCTCCACTAGCACGTTGCAGAACTTCAGCTCAAGGATGGAGGCCACGGTCTCGCGTTCGGGCCGCAGCAGCGTGGGTCCGAAGCACACGGCCAGGTTCGACGCCGTCATCAGGTTCTTGTCGCTTTTCGCCGCCACGCTACATGAAAAAGTTAACCATTGATGACCATGAAGATTTAGAGGCCATACGCCAAGACATTTCGTCTATGTTACGTCGAAGTACAGCGCCGAAATTAAATCTTCCCAAAAATGAATTTAACGCGTTGAAAAACTTACGCAACAGACCAGATTCTCCGCGCAGATAAAGACAATGCTACGGTTATAATGGATACGTCAGATTACAATTTTAAAATACAACAACTTTTGTCGGATGAAACTACATACCGAAAGATCAAAACAGACCCTACAACTAATACGCTTAAAACAACTAGCGATCTAATTAAGAAATACTCCGAGAAATTGAATCTAGACGTTAATTCGATGATACCTTCGTGTGCAAAACCTCCCAAGTTGTATGGGTTACCAAAAATACACAAACCTAACGCTCCATTACGTCCAATAGTGAGTTAAATGGATTCGCCAACTTACAGATTGGCTCAACACTTAGCCAAAATATTATCACCACTCAGAGGATACACAAGAGCTCACACTAAGGATTCATACCATTTTGTCAGTGAGATAAAAGATCAACGTCTTGCTGACAATGAAACCATGGTCAGTTTTGATGTTCAGTTTCTATTTACATGCCTACCTGTTGATAACTGCATCTCAATTATAACTAGGATTCTAGATGAAAATAACATGCCACCAGAATATGTAGTACTACTAAGACATTGCCTTACAATTGGCTATCTATTGTGGAAGGAAGAGTTTTACAAGCAAGTAGATGGTGTTGCGATGTGCTCACCTGTATCTCCCATTGTCGCCGATATATTCATGGAAGACTTTGAGGAGAAAGCCCTCCTTACTGCACCTGTTACACCAAGGATCTACAAGCGGTACGTAGACGATACTTTCACAATTTTACCATCAGACAAAGTAACTGCATTTTTAGAACATCTTAATTCCATAAACTCTAAAATTCAATTTACTATGGAGTTAGAGGCAAATAATTCCTTAGCTTTCCTAGATGTGTTAGTCATCCGAAATCATAACAACACCATAGGTCATACTGTGTATAGAAAAAAGACCCATACAAACCGACACTTAAATGGTGAATCTCACCATCATCCTTAACAGTTAGCTACCGTGGGCAAATCTTTGTTACAGAGAGCACGAGGGATCTGTGACAGCAAACACCTGGCCGCCGAGCTTCAGCACGTCAAGCAAGTTCTGCGCGACAACAAGCTTTTTTTTTATAGAAGAAGGGGCAAACGAGCATGCGGCTCACCTGATGTTAAGTGACTACCGCCGCCCATGATCAACCGCAACACCAGGAGAATTGCGGGTGCGTTGCCGGCCCTTTAGAAAGGAGTAAGCTCTTTTCTTGAAGGTCCCCAGGTCGTATCGGTCCGGAAAAATCGCCGGTGGTAAACTATTCCACAGAGAGGTTGTACGTGGAAGAAAACTCCTTGTGAAACGTACAGTGGTGGACCGCCAAGCATCCAGATGGTGTGGATGGTATCGGGACGTTTGACATGTAGTGCGTTCACGAAATTTGGCGGCTGGGATTAATCCGAACAATTCCTCAGAGCACTCCCCCGTGATAGGTGCGATAAAAGATGATTCACTGGCGCTGCGAAGAGATGCAACATCTCTTCGCAGCGCCAGTGAATCGAGCCGGTCGGAAAGCACTCGGTCGTCGACGATTCGAGCCGCTCTGCGCTGGATGCGGTCAAGTGGAAGAAGCTGGTACTGGGGAGCCCCAGCCCAGAGATGGGAACAGTATTCCATGTGCGGCCGAACCTGCGCCTTGTAAAGTTGCAGGCGGTGTGCCGGCATGAAATACTGTCCCGCTCTGCTGAGCACGCCAAGCTTTTTAGAGGCCAATTTGGCCTTCCCTTCCAAGTGACCACGAAACTGCACGTCACTCGATATGTCGACGCCGAGGATTCCGATACTGGCTGAGGCAACAAGGGGAGTGCCTTGAAACTGAGGGGATACGACAAAGGGGTTCTTTTTAGCGGTTAACGCGCAAACTTGTGTCTTCTGGGGGTTAAACTGGACTAGATTTAGTCGCCCCCAATCCGAGACTCTGTCCAGCAGAGACTCGACTTCCGACACAAGTTTGTCCCGGCACTCGGAGATGTTTTCCCGAGAAATATTGGCTCGGCCGGTGTAAAGAGCATCACCAGTGCTGTCATCTGCATAGCTATGAATGTTACGGGTATGCAACATGTCATTGATATGCAGAAGAAACAGCGTTGGCGATAGCACGCAGCCCTGTGGAACACCAGCATTAATAGGCTTGCAATCGGAGCTTGCACCGTCTACAACGACCTTGATGCTCCGATTTGCAAGAAAGCTGGTGATCCAATCGCACAATTTCTCTGGAAGCCCATAGGAAGGGAGCTTCGAAAGAAGCGCTTTGTGCCAAACCCGATCGAGGGCCTTCGCAATGTCCAAACTAACGGCCAATGCCTCCCCCTTGAACTCTACTGCCTCCGCCCATCTGTGAGTTAGGTAGACCAGAAGATCACCAGCTGACCGACCACGGCGAAAACCGTATTGGCGGTCACTAATCAGCTGGTGATCTTCAAGGTACCTCATGAGCTGGCAGTTTACAATGGACTCCATTGTTTTGGAGAACAAGGAGGTGATGGCGATTGGCCGGTAGTTGGACGGGTCAGAGCGGTCGCCTTTTTTAGGGATCGGGTGGACGTAAGCCGTCTTCCATGATGTTGGGACTACGCCTTAGCCTAGCTTCGGGTCCCACGCCTCCGTCACAGTGACCGAGTGAAGCTGGCCACAGTCGAGCGTGTGCCTGCTGTACTACCATATGTCAGAGGTGTCACAGACAAGATTGGCTATATCTTGAAGCGAGGTTCTATTAGAACATTCTACAAGCCACCGAAGAAGATTAGTCAGTTCTTACCATCCGTCAAGTGTCACATTCCTCTACAAGATGCAGCAGTGTACAAGCTTGATTGTGATTGTGGTCTCTCATATATAGGGCAAACAAAGAGATCAATTAGAACCCGCGTAAAAGAACACATAGCTGACGTGAAGCATCAACGTTCCGGGAAGTCTGCAGTTTGCGATCATATTCTAGATGGCCCCAACCATTACATCAGAGTTGATAGACCACAAATCCTCGCGGAAGAACATCGATTCCTACCTAGGATGATACGTGAGACTATTGAAATTAAAAAACATCCTAATTTCAATTCTCCTATAAAAAAATCCTATAATTAAAAAAATTAAAACTAAACCCAAGCATACCACTGCAAGACTTCAAAATACAGTTAGTTCATTCTGCGTAGATCGGACCAAAAACAATAATTAAAAAGCTGAAGGTACTCCGGGTTAACTTTGACATCGGGACGTCAGTCACCTCAGTCCCCCGTGACCATGGGTGCTGGAAAGCACCCGAAACGTCGGGTATTAAAAATAAAATAAATAAAACGTGATAAAATCCGTAAAAGTAGTTTTAATCAATGTATAGTGTTCACGTAAATATAACAAATCATTAAGCTAGTATAATTATAATTATAAGATTCATACGTGGTAGAGCCACTTTGCAGCTATTATGGTTGCTGCCACGAATGGGCCGGCTCGACCGGGGTAGGACCACACTCTCACAGAATACCAGCGTAAAATAGCAGCTTAATACTGCTGTGTTTTGTATGGTGAGTGTAGAGATCCGGAGACCCTTTTTAACTGGAAACGGATGGAAAGGAGAAAGGCATTCCATCTTAGTCCTTAGGGGTGACAACGCATCTGCCTTTTGATATTCTTAATTGAGGATAAATATCTATGGGTCACAATATCCACTTACCATCGGGTGGAATGTGTGCTCGTTTATCACCCTTATTCTATAAAAAATGGGCTAAAGATATCTTTTTACGTCTTCATAGGTGACAACGTATCTATAGCCTTATTTATTTGAAGTTGATTGTAGGTGTCTACGGACTGCAGTAACCACATACCATCAGGTGAACTGCAGGTTCGTTTGTCAATTCAATTTATGAAAACAAAAATTGTCATACCTATATCAGAATAAGATCAGCAATAAGAATGTATTTATTATAGTTTTATTGGTGTAAGCCGTGTGTTGTGTACGTATGCGTGCCTGTGTGCGATGCGTGTGCGTATACGTGCTTGCATAAATGTATGTGTACGTGTCCGTACGAGTATGCGCGTGTGTGCGTACTTGCGCAGGTGCCGCAGCACGAGACGCAGCATAGCGCGGTTGTCGTGCGGCAGCGCCAGCAACAGCGCGTGCAGCGCCGCCACTCGATCCGCCCGGCGCTCCAGCTCTGCGATCACACAAACATACAAAGAAACATTTATTTATTTTATTCCTTATTGCACTAAGAGTACAAAAGGGAGTTTTGGATTTGCTAAACATCTTTATTTATAGCTACATATATTTAATTACACCACGTGCATATAACGTGTCCCAAAATTTAGGGTTAAGCGAGCACCAGGGAATGGACAAATTGACGATTCTTAATCATATCATAAACAGGGCAGAGACTACAGACTTCCATTTAGAACAATCCTCTCTCGCCTCCTCCACATCCATATACCTACGCATACATGCTCGTCGGATCAGGGTATTCTCAATTTGTTGATTGAAACCGTATTGGCGGTCACTAATCAATTGGTGACCTTCAAGATACCGCATGAGCTAGCAGTTAACAATGGATTCCATTATTTTGGAGAACAAGGAGGTGATGGCAATAGGTCTGTAGTTGAACGGGTCTGAGTGGTCGCCTTTTTTAGGGATCGGGTTGACTAAAGCTGTCTTTCATGAATTCGGGACTACGCCTTGAGAGTAGGAGTACCGGAAAAGACGCGTTAAAACCGGTGCCAGCTCCAGAGCACATGTCTTCTGTATAATGGGAGGGACTCCATCAGGCCCACTCGACTTGCTGATGTCCAGGGAGAGGAGTGCTTTGCGAAACGAGCGCTGTGTAAACCGCACATCCGGCATGGAACACTTACATCGCGGGATGGTCGGCGGTGTGTTCCTCCCGTCATCGTGAGTAGAGTAGACCGCTAAGAGAGAGCCTAACAGATCGGCTTTCTCCTTTGCGGCATGGGCTAGAGTTATCCTCTCTGTGCAGAGATGGAAGAGATGACTAACAGAAGTTCACTTGGACAGCCTTGGCAAGAGTCCCAAGCGCGGGTTCCCGAAGGAAGGCGAACTAGCTTCTCGCCAATTCTGCCGATGTGCTCAGACCTTGCCTCGTAATGACTCTTTTCGCTTTTGGCGTCAGCCCAGGCCCGGTAGCACTCCTGCTTATAGCGTGATGCTATTATACAGAAGCGACCAAACTATGGCTGGTATCTGCCTCCGATGAGCACCACAGAGGACGAAATAAAAAGTTCCATACCCTGAAATACCCCATCAGCGACAGAATCAGCAACAACGCTGGGATCGTCCCGCGAGAAGCAAACCCAAGGGTAGGATGCAAAAAAAGACCGCATCCTATCCTAATCGGCCGACCCATAGTGCCAAACACGGCGGCAGCCTACAGAATGCAACCGCGACGTTAATATGACTGGCACCACCAGCTGGCACCACTCCAAATAAGACAGTCCGACGAGCCGTCCGAGGTCGTCGACGGAAATCTGATTTCCACCCGGATGAGAGGTCAGCTGAAGGTCATCCAGGGAAGGTGTATGAACTTCCACATCTGGAATCCCAATAGGCGAAGTAACCAGTTGTGTCAGATCATATGCCAAAGCAAAGTCATAAACAGATCTCCCCGCAAGATCGGTTAAACGTGAACCAAGCCATTCGGCGTGGTGGTTTTTTTATTAACTGGCTTTACGGCTCTGGGTTCTAGTCCTTTTGAGCCTATCATTTCTTTCGAAATCTTCATTTTTATATTCTTTTTCTTCACAATATGCTGATGCGTCATATTGCGAAGCCGTTGGGAGATTTTGACGACACCTCAACCCAGAGGACAGTTGATAACGACAGCCACTCAATTTCATAAGGCACCCAAGCGATCAAAATAACTTGAGATTTATATCGTCATCAAAGCACTTGCTTCGTCGTTTTCTTTAATAGTTATTAATTCACAAAATCGCATCATTTTTACGAATCAAAATCCACTTCAAACCATTATTCAAGCGACAAAACAGGAGCGACACCCGTCTACGGCCAAGTTCCCGCCAAAACTCTCGGCGTGGTGGGCGTTCAAATCCACAAGGATCACGATCTCTGCGGAAGGGATCTACTGTAACACGGAATCTGTAGCCGTTTGGACGCGGTCGATGAGTCGGTCTGTTTCGGCATTACCGCGCGACCCATAGAGGCACCTGTAGACGAGGGGATGGTCGTCGCTGTCTACGCGCAGCCATAGAATGGACAGGTCCGTATCTTTAACAGGCCTTTTCTTGTGCCCCGAGACGGAGAGTTATGAAGCATCAGCTGGAGAGGACACCTGAATCTCGGTTAAAAAAAGCAAGGTCAGCTTCGCATCTTCAGATGGTATTGGACAGCGTTAAGGTTGGAATGAAGTCCCCTGATGTTGTAAAAATTCACGGATAGCGTGGCAGGGGTCGCCTTGGTGTTGTTGCTCCACTTGCCCCGAGCAGTTTTAGTTGCGAGCGGAATTGCGCCCCCCCTCCCCTTACCAGAATACGCGGGGCAGCCGGACCACCTACGTTCAGGAAAAGTAGGATAATTTGGGCGTGGATGCTCAGCGAGGGATTCTTCGTCACCAGGGGTGCTGGTACTTTTTTCATTCCGCTACCATGTTAGGGGTGGGGGGATTTGAGCTGCTGGCCACATGTATTCACCAAGCGAAACGCAGAGATAAATCTCTACTTAACGCTGGTATTCTGTGAGGTCGTGGCACTACCCCGGTTTGAGCCGGCCCATCCGTGTGACAGCAAAAGCTGCCGCGTGCCACTACCGCTGTTAATATGACGATAATATGACTCACTATACAATTTTTTTAGGTACTATGACCACATATTTGCAAATATCACTTTTCTTTTTTTGTATTAGGAACATATGCGGTAAAGCTGTTCATCCCAATTCGATCTACCTGTTCCACTCTTGCTTAATTTGATGGTTTTCCAGGAAAGAGGTTTTTTTCGAACCAACGGTAAAGTAAAAGATTGACTTTCAATAAAAATTACTTGTTATCTATATTGAATAAAAATATATTCTATGCTGAAGACCAGAGTAGTAGCGGTGGTAAAAAATAAAACGGGTGATTTGTCGGATAAATGTAATTATAGGTTGCAAAGGATATCGGTCTATAGACTAATATCCTTGGCAAACACTTACTACTTAGCAAAAATTCTAGCAAAGATATTAGATCGTGTGCTTAATACAAAAATTAATATATATGTAAAACTGAGGTGCTTAGAGCAGCATGCATGTCAGATGTCACATAGATAGAATATGTGTGTACTGGATTTTAGGGTTCACTTTGGTTTGTAAGAGTTTGTGCTCACAGAAAGACGTGTTTACTACGTGATGATTTATTTGCAACTGTTTTTACAAATTATGCCTTTAAATATTGAACCTATTCACACATGCATACGTATTCACACTTACGCTCGCTCTCACACTCGTATAGATCAGTCTATCCGAACATACCGCCCACCAAAGGGCCTATGAGCCCTTTAAAAATTTTATTACACGTTACAACGTTTTGATTACAATAGACTCAAAGATAACACAAAGAAAAAATAAAGACACAAAATCTGTACACAATTAAACACATAGAATGTAGATAAATACAATTTGCCTTAGTTATAAACAAAATAAATCATGATTAAATGTCTATTGGTAAGTAACACAGCTTATTTACAGATCTTTGCACGAAACTAGCACCACTTTTTACACTGTATACAAGAGTCATCATCCATTTACCTGGGGGCAATCTATCTGATCTTATGAGGACAATGTGACCTTGCTGTGGCGTTAAGTTTTGCACACTTGAGACATTTTCTTATCCTTTATTTTACTAATCTTCTAGCTCTTAGGATCCAGAATTTTGTTCGTAGAAAGCAGAGCATTACTTGAACTCCACCGTGTATCGTTTTAGAGTGTGCATCAGCAACGAGAAGAGAGGTAAGATAGATGTCATGATCAAGAATAATTGGATTTTTGCTCTTCATTTAGGTCTGAGTGATGCAGTCGGCCGCCCACCCTGAGGATATTATCATCGTCCAGGTAAGCTTTTAAACTCTTTAGTTTACTGGCTCTTTTAATTTTTCCTTTGATTTCAGGTGCTGTATTTCCTCTTCGAAGCTGTCCCTTTGAGTTATTTTTATGCAGGTTTTAAGCGCATCATTAAGTTCCGTCGTGGTCACAGGTAAGTCTTTGTATTACACTTTCTTTCCCTTCAAGAATCTTTTAGAATATATAATCACCTTGAGCAATTCTTGCAACTTGTCACAATCCTCAAATTTTGTACTAATACTCTTCTCTTTGTCTGATTTCAAATTTACATGTATTGATTTCTTTCTTTCCAGATCTGTCCAGGTTGTATTTGGTCTGCTGTGTTGGATTTCCCCCACTCTCAGCCTCTCTGGGCCCTTCCACCAAAGTTCATCATTTTTTAGCGTTTGCAATGATTACCCTCGTGAAGCGGAGTCAGCTGGGTTTTCTGGCGATTTGACATGATACCAATTATGATTGCCGATTGTGTCAAGTATTTCAACAACCCTGTTTCTCACATAAGTGATCCATCTTGCAGGATCACCAAACAAACACAAGAGTACAATGGTGGAATCAGTCCAAGCAAATATCTGAGAGGCAGGTACGTTCATTGATTCCTTTATCAGTTTTAAAAGACCAGCAAGCAGTACAGCCCCACTTAGTTCCAGACGAGGTAGGGATTGTGGTTTTGTAGGTGCAACTTTGGTTTTAGCAGCGATGATTGATGTCTTCACTACACCGCTTTCTGTTCTTACTCTTAGGTAGGCTACTGCAGCGTAAGCTCGAGATGATGCATCACAAAATCCGTGGATAGTAACATTGTTTAGTGTGGCTTCAGTAGTATTTAGCCATCTGTTTACTTCGATATCAGGTAGGTACATATGAAACGAATCTCGTAAATTGTTCCATTCTGCAGTAATCGTTTCGTCCACCTCCTCATCCCATGCTACTCCTTGCAGCCATAATCTTTGTATTAGAAGTTTGGCAGGTAAGACAGAAGGTGCCAACCAGCCCAGTGGATCAAATAATCTTTGTAGGTCACCCAGAATTGTTCTCATTGTAATTATATTTACCGTAGCAGGTAGATTTAAGCTGTATTGAAATAAATCTTTGCCCATGTTC